TCTCTGTGTGTGTGTGTGTGTGTGTGTGTGTGTGTGTGTGTGTGTGTGTGTGGGAGTGTGATGCTGTGTGTGTGTGCGTGTGTGTGTGATAATGTGTGCGTATGGGTGGCCATGTAGATCAGAGTCCTTGGCCGCAGTTGGCACCGTCTGGACAAATCTTGCAGTGGGGAAACGTTCCGGGGACACAGAAATATACGTTAGCAGGCCAGCCATGTGAATCAGACTTGACCAGCATTTGGCAGCCGATGAACCGAATTTTGTTTCAGGGCGCATGGTGCCATTTTGGACATGAATCATCAGATCACATTCCAATGGCAATCTGTGGAGATATCATCTGGCTGGCATTTCAGGGCGTGGCGTCTATCGGCAACACTTCAGCCTCCTGCTCACCGTGGCCAAATCGGTCCTCCGACGACAAGTAATGGCTATATCTAAGTTAGCGCAGCGGGTGATCAGGCTAGTAGAGAACTCGTGCTGAATTCCCGCCTTCGTTCAGAAAGAAGCGTCATCATGACATCATTGTATGCTCGAGGCGTTGCCAGAAGATGCGCAAGTCGAGGGCGATGCTCCCTAATATGTCAAAACGAAACGGAGAGCAAGGCAAGGGGGAAGAGTAATCCTGAATTTTCCACAAAAAGCAGGCGAAGAAGGGAAGGGCAATGAGGGCTCCCGCGAAGAAAAGTGAATGCATACGCTCCGTGCATGCACAGCTCCGGGTGGACTTTCCGTATTCGCTCAGAAGGGTGTTGGAGAAGTTCACCGTACGCGTTTTGTGTCACTGGTATGTGTGGCGATTGGGTAGCGAGCCCCACACAAAAACCTGATCGGAAGGAAAGGAGATCCAGGGAAGCGCCGTTGCAGAAAAATGGAGAGCGTAACAATGCACTCCCAGAATTGGGAGATTGAAACTTACCCGCCACTGATTTGATGGGTACGCTCTGGGCTGCAGAGGAAAAATTGGCTTTTGAGGCTTGAGCACATGCTCTCACAGGCAAGCGCCCACCCACGCACGTAAGCACGCACACACCCACGCGCACAGCCGGACAACAAAGCCCAGAAGACTGAAGCAGAGAGAGAGAGAGAGAGAAACAGAGAGAGAGAGAGACAGAGAGAGAGAGAGA